AGCCGAATGAAGTCAACTTAATCTCGAAGTAGTGACATTTCAAACTTGACACTGATTCAAGACTGAAACACGTAAAGTTACTTTCAGATATGAACATATGTTGTGGCAAAAAAAACAGAAACGCACACAAGGTAGGTTTATTGAAATCTGCATGGGTCGAATTAAATCGGACAATGCATAGGCCTTTTTTTGTGAGTCGAGCCTAATTTCATGGCTAGTCGAGTGATTGATCCACTCAATAGCCCATGTCTATCCTTTGGTATTCTGGCATGCCACTGCCCCCTCATGCCACTGCCCTGCCCCTATCTGCCCCTCCATGCTATCACCGTTTGGCACAGTCGAGTGAAAGACGCCGCAGTTTGCAGGCTGGGTTGGCTCTGCAGTGAGGCCGTCCTTGTTCGAAGTGGCCTTGACAACGAGATTTTGAAAGGCAAAGGTGGGAGAGCTGCTGCTGCAGTTATCCAGCCCCAGGAGTTGGTAGAGGGAGTTGATAGAGAGCGATGGGAACGATTTGGTGGTGTTCCTTGCAATGCCGTACGCTGCTTCTATGCTCGCCACCACCGCATACGCCCAGCAGGTTCCTGCGCGTGTGGAGAGGGAGAGCGTTGCAGGCAAGAGCCGAGGCGAAGGACACTTACCAGCATGAGATCTGCAGGCTGGGGACAACATCACAGAGCCTAGAAGAGCAAATGTGCAGAGGCAAAATTGGAGCACGCCATAATCTACGAAGTTCGAGGGCAGCAGGAGTGAAACGCATTGGCAGAGAAGGTGCTGATGCTGCACACTCACAGCCTGCCATATGCGTGGTCTATTCATGGATAGCACAGCAGCAACAAGGCAATGGCCCGCTCAGTGCATGAGCCTTCTGAGTCGATTCAAACGTCATTCATCCCGGCTCACCACATGCGCCTTGGTCCTTGGGCAGCCAGTTCGAGTCAATGGTCCAGGTGGAGTAAGTGGGTATTCGCCACGAGTCCTGTTCGTCTTGTGCGGTGCTGTGGCCCACGCTCACATAGCGCGTGAACGGGCTCGTCGTTTGCGGCTTGAACGTGTCTACGTCCACGAGCAGGCCCGTGCCTGCATGCAGAGAGTATCAACAAGGAGCGTGGGAGTGGGGATTGAAGAATGCAGAACGAAGGTACCATCACTCTCGATATGTTACATCTTGCTTTCAGCATGCTTACTTCTGTGTATTGGGTGTTGCACTTACTGCTGCCGGCTGCAAGGAACGTTGTGACGGCGCTTGATGCACCCATCAGAGTCTTCACATGCGTGCAAGTGTAAGCGGATTCATTCCTATCAATACAGTCACAGATGCAATACCTACGAGAGGCTCTATAAAGGAGCAAAAGAACGACAGCTGCATAACAACGTACTTCTCTGAACTGGAAGCGGTGGAGGCAATGCGTATCCTGCCAGGAAACACAAGGCACGTATAAACAGTGAAGAGAAGAAGTTAAGGATCTAGCCTGGAAGTGGGTTACGGATTTCAAGTCGAGGTTCCTGACTTGTATGGTTCGAACTTCGCACACACTGTGTTGGTGAAAACAATCACATGTTGCTCGTGCACGCATGCATAGTACTGCATGCTT